GCATGGCTGAGCTGAATCTCCATTTCATTGAGGTCTCCCTCCATCTTCTTCTTGACCCTCAGAGCATCATTTCTGCTCCTGACTTCTGCATCCAAAGTGGTCTGCATGGAATCAATGATCCTCTGGCTGTTCCTCTTGATCTGCTCCATCTCCTCATCTTTCTCAGCCAGCTTCCTGTCAATTTCACCCTTGACCTGGTTGAGTTCCAACTGAATACGTAGGATCTTAGACTCCTCATGCTCCAGTGTGCCCTGTGAAGATAAATGATAAATAATAATTCCTCCCGTACCCCAGCATTATTTTTGTTATTTCCTGTTATTACTGTTTTATGGGTGTGATTACCTCAGCTTCCTCTAGAGCAGTCTGGATTTCTGACTTCTCTATCTCCACTGTCTTTTTGGACTTCTCCAGCTCATGAATGGTCTTTCCAGACTCACCAATTTGTTCAGTCAGGTCTGAGATCTCCTCTGAAGATTAAACAAATACTCATTATTATAGAGCAGGGTAATTTAATGATTATGACTTGATCTTGAGTCTAATGGAGGCTAATCGCATGTTCCTGAAATCCGAATCTATCAGAATCAATATGGAAACATACGCTGCAGGTTCTTGTTCTCTCTCTTCATGGTCTCCAGGTGGTCCAGAGTTTCCTCATAGGAGTTCTTCATCTTGAACAGTTCAGTACTGAGAGAACGAGCCTCTTTCTGAGCCCCTTCCAGCTCTGCCTGACTTTCCTCATACTTCTGCTTCCATTCTGCCAGGACCTGAAAAAACAAAACATACAGTTGTGTTCAGAATAATAGCAGTGTGTCTAAAAAAGTGAATAAAGCTGAAAATCCTTATAATAGTTTTTATTTCCATACAAGCAAATGCATCGGGAACACTACAATTCTACTCCAAATCAAAACAAGAAGAGAAATTCATCACATTTGTGTTATTCTTTTACAGAAAGGGAAGGGAATATTAGGCTGTTCAAAAAAATAGCAGTGTCCACATTCTTTTTTACAAACTCAAAGATTCACCATATGAACTGAAAAATGTTTTAAGATTTTGAATTCCTTTGAATCATTGAGCTAATATTTAGTTGTATAACCACTGCTTCTCAGAACTGCTGCACATCTGTGTTGTAGGGAGTCGACCAACTTCTGGCACCTGTGAACAGGTATTCCAGCCCAGGATGATTGGACTACATTCTACACTTCTTCGGCATTTCTTGGTTTTGCCTCAGAAACAGCATTTTTGATGTCACCCCACAAGTTTTCTTTTGGATTAAGGTCCGTGGATTGGGCTAGCCACTCCATAACGTCAATCTTGTTGGTCTGGAACCAAGATGTTGCTGGTTTACTGGTATGTTCGGGGTCGTTGTCTTGTTGAAACACCCATTTCAAGGGCATTTTCTCCTCGGCATAAGATGACATGACCTCTTCAAGTATTTTGAGGTATTCAAACTGATCCATAATCCCTGGTATGTGATAAATACATAGTATGAGAAACATCCCCATATCATGATGCTTGCGCCACCATGCTTCACTGTCTTCACAGTGTACTGTGGCTTGAATTCAGCGTTTGGGGGTCGTCTGACAAACTTCCTGCGGCCACTAGACCCAAAAAGAACAATCTTGTCTTCATCAGCCCACAAAATGTGGCCGTTTCTCTTTAGGCCAGTCAATATATTCTTTGGCAAACTGTAACCTCTTCAGCATGTCTTTTTTTCAGCAATGGGATTTTGCGGGGGCTTCTTGCTGATAGCTTGGCTTCACATAGGCGTCATCTGATTGTAACAGAACTCACAGGTAACTTTAGTCCTTCTTTGATCTTCCTGGAGCTTCGCCATCTTGGCTATTCTTCGATCCATTCGAATGGTAGTTTTTGGTTTTCTTCCACGTCTTTTAGGTTTTGGTTGCCATTTTAAAGCATTTGCAATCATTTTAGCTGAGCAGCCTATCATTTTCTGCACTTCTTTATATGTTTTCCCCTCTCCAAACAACTTTTTAATCAAGGTACGCTGTTCTTCTGAACAATGTCTGGAAC